GCTCTCCGGGCGGCGAGCTGGGGGTGCGCCCGGACCTTCGCCCCCAGGATCATGGGGAATGGCATGACCAAGGTAGGGGGGCGGATGGCGCAGCCCGCACCTGGCCCCCCCCCGGCCGCGGCCGGGCGCCCGCCTCTGACCTTCTGGCTCTCGCTGAGTATGTTTCTATATCTGTCTCCCTGGGACTCTGAGATCGTACTTCTCCGTCTGTCTCTCTGGGGCTGTAATCTCTCTCTGACTTTGTATCTCTGTGTCTCTGTTCATGTCTCTGTCTCTGCTGTTTCTGAGACTCTATATTTTTTGCCATGTCTTTCTGTGACTCTCGGTCACCGCCAGACTCTGTCTCTTTTGGAGTTTCATTCTCTATCTCCATGTGTCTCTGTTTCCCTGGACTCTAATGCCGTTTCTGCATCCCCCCACCCCCAGTGCCTCTGCATGACCCTCCCCTGACCCTGCTTCCCACCACCTCCTCAGAATTCCCCACCACCCACCTTGGCAAGGCCACCTCTCCCTTTGCCCTCCTCCCCCCGTCCCCTTCCCTCCTCTTTCCTCTCACCCCTACCCAAGCTGGCTTCCCTTGGTGCCCTCCTGCTGCCCTCCCAGACCCTCTCAGAGTCCAGGCCTGCAAGAGGGAGGAGACTGCTCCCTGAGTCCTGAGGTCCAGACACCCTTCATGGCACTGAGAGGGGCTGCAGGCACCCCACTGGGTAGGGGTGGGTGCACCCCTACCCAACCGACCCGGCCTGTCTCTCCCGTAGGTACTTCCTGGACTCTACCTCGGAAACTTCATTGGTGAGCACTGCCCACTCTGTCCCAAGGCCATGGCATGCTCCCTGTCCCAGGCCTGCGTCCACCATTCATACTCTGGCCCACGCACTTGGACGCTCTCAGGAATGGGGCCGGGGGGCAGGGAAGCCGTGCCAGGCTGGGAGGGGGAAGCACTCCTGAGGACTAAGGGGTTCGTGGGTGGGGGAGTGTCCCCAGTGTGAAGGACTCAGAACTGGACACTGGACAAGTCTGCACCTGCTCTGAGCCTCAGCCTCTCCCTCAGCACAAGGCCCACTCCCACCTCTAAGGGTTTTTCCCGCCTTGAGGTTCTGGGTTGAGGTCCCTTTGGAGGTGTTGCTCTAGCTGGGACGCTGGGAACACTTTCCCGCACAACCTCCTCCTCAGAGAAGAGGTCTCTAGAGACTGGACTCTACCTTGGAAACTTCACTGGTGAACATTGCTCAAGGCTGTGGCACCCTGCCTGTCCCAGGCCTGTGCTAAGAAACAGGCTGGCCCCGGGCTTGGGAGACCTGAGGCGGGAAAAGTCACTTCCATCTGCAGAGTCTGAGAAAGCTTCAGAGAGGGAGGGGCATCTGAACTGGGGCAGGGCCTTCCCTGAGGGCTCCAGTCTCTTAAACCCTGGTCCCTTCCTCCCCGGGAGCTCCGTCGGCAGTTCACACTACATTGACTTCTGAGTATTTGGTAAGTAAGGTCTGAATCCTCTTTAAGTGTGCAGTCCCATGAGGGCAGGGGCCATGAGCTTGACCCTACAACCCTATCCCCAGCCAAGGCTGCACATAGTAAACAGTAAATGTGGTGAATGAGGAAGGGGGCATATGGAGGTAGAGGGATGTGTGTTATTTACTCTGATTATGAAAGGTCTGCATAGATTGGAAATCCAGCCCTGATGGTCACTGAGAGCAGTAAGGGATATATCCCTGGCTCATTTTTCATATGTCTTTGTAGCTGCAGCTATAATATTTAAAACAAAAATGGAAGCCTATTCTGCACGCTGTTCTGTAACCTGTGGTTCCCATTTAACAATATATTGTGGACTTCCTTGCACATCAGCACGGAGAGAGCTTTTTAGTGGCTGCACAGAATTCATGTATGAATATACCATTATTTATCCAGCCTCTTTTGGGTTGTTCCCATTTTTAACCATTTCTGATGTGTTTACTGTCATAAACAGCATAGCAGAGAACACACAGCTTTCTGTGTGAGCGAACCGTTCTGCAGACAAGATTCCTAGAAGTAGAATTCCCGGGTCCAGGATATGCCAGGGAAGGGTGTTTGCGATGGGAAGAACTGTGTGGGCAAGGTTGGGAGGTGCTGGGCTGTACCTGTGGGAGCCCCAGTGGCATGACTGAAGCTGAGGGGTGTGGGAGGACCTGGCATGCTGGGAACAGGAGGTGATGAAGGAGCAGGGAGCTGGCAGAGGGTGGGCCAAGGTGGAGAGGGACGGATGAGGGGGAGAGCAGGGCAGTGAGCGCCCTCTTCACTTGGCCATCAGGAACACGTAAGTCATACCTGCCAGACTAGCTCAAGCATCTTGTTTCTTTCAGATGCCAAAGACCCAGATCAACTAGGCCGGAATAAGATCACACACATCATCTCCATCCACGAGTCACCTCAGCCTCTGCTGCAGGTACTCACGACCCCCATCCCAGGACTGCACATAGGTGGGGAGGGAGGCTTCAGACCCCACAGCACCCATTTACCAAGCACCTACTATGTGCCAAATCTTGCACTGCCTTTCTGACCCATGCTAGGTCATTTGGTTCACTGGCCTGTTTTACATTAGCATCCCTATTTGCTCCCTGTTTGGCAACTGAGGACCAGAGAGGTGAAGTAACCTGCCAAAAGTCACACATCCAGGAAGCTAAGGAGCTGGAATTTGAACACAGGCCATCTGGCCCCAGAGACCTCACACTGAACCATAAAAAGGCCCTCACAGGGGCTTCCCATTGTCCCACTGAATACATGACTCCAAATAGATGATTCTAGGCTCTGTGTCTTGCTTGTGACTTGGGCTATGACTTCAGCTCTCTGGGCCTCCAATTCCTCGGCCCTGCCTGCCCCAGGGGGCTGCTGTGAGGATGCAGAGGGCGAAGATGCCTTGCACACTATACAGCACGACCTCCATCAGAAGGGTTGGTGCAGTATTCTCGACTCCTGGAAGAGAAGGGTTCATGGGGGCTGGAGTTAGGAAGCCCAAGTTCACATCTTTACCACTTATTCTCTGTAACCTTGGGCACAGGACTTCACCTCTCTCAACCTCAGCTGCCTGATCTGTAAACGGGGAATTTTATAACAGTACCTACCTCACTGGGATATTGAGATTCACATAATAGGTGCTTCACAAATTAGAGCTGATGTAATAACAGAGTTAATCATATTCTCATCTCATAAACAGAGCCCCTTCTTCCTTGTCTGTTGAGGTCTATGTCAGTCACTGAAAGGAAAGAACTGTGGGTGGGAAGGGGCTCTGAAGATGAGATCCAGACCAGGTTCTGTCACAGATTTGCTGTGTGGCCTTGGGCAGGGTCCTCCCCCTCTCTGGGCCTTAGTTTCCCCATGTGTCAGATTTGATGGTCTCTAAGAGCAACCTCCGATAATCTGCAGCTCTCAGTGTCATTTAAAGAAGAAATTTCCAGGTCAATGGAGTCTGATTTCGCTTTATAGGGCAGGCTTGTTGTAGAGTATTTGCAGTATGCAGTCACTAGAGTGCATGGGGAAGTTCTCCAGGCGTAACTATATTTGCTAATGAAATGCCTGCTGGCAAATTGAGTCCCGGCTCCAGCAGCCCGCCTTCTCACAAGCATCTCCCTCCCCATCCATCAGTGAATTTACCAGTAAGGGTTTGATAATGCCTTGCAAACCCAAGGCCAAGTGAAATTGCCAGCCTTGCAAAAGATGCAGGATCGTGTGACCTTGGGGAGAGTGAGTTACAGAGAAAGTCTGGGATCTCACATGAGGACCTGGCTGGGGGTCCCTTAGTCACTGGAAGTGGGCCAGGCCATGTGAATATCAAAGGATTAAGAGAAGTTCTCAGGAATAACGATTCTTGGGCTGTGGGCTGAATTCATCTTTAAAGTCTTGTTTGAAGGTTGGGCACGAATTAAAGGATGTTATAGCACGTTTGTGGGAGTAATTGCTGACAATTCGTTCCTTGATTATTTTAGTAATTAGCACATTGTTTTATAACCATAATTCATGAACTAAAACTTATCTTCATAGTTTTTGTTTCTTTTCAATCTGCGTTGCCCTTCTTACTGTGTAATTTTGTAATTCTCATATGGAGGGGAGTCACTTTAAGTGGCCCTTTTCCAACCATTAAATAAAAGTCCCCTGGATCCATTTTGGCAAGCCCTTGTGACCCAGTCACCTATAGGGTTAGGATACCATCTTCTCAGAAGGTTCTGAAAACAGACGGTCAGAGCTGGGAGGCTCTTAGAGATGGTGTCTACCCTCTTTGGGCAGAGAGGACAATAGTGGCCCAAAGAGGGGCAGGAACTGGCCTAGGGTCACAAGGTGCTAGGGAGGCCCAGGCCTGGGTCAGGGGGTACAGGCCAGGGCCCCCCACTCTCCATGTGTGTTTTGTACTTGCAGGACATAACCTACCTTCGCATCCCAGTGGCTGACACCCCTGAGGTACCCATGTAAGTCCCCCTGGATGGGCTGACAGATGGACAGACAGCTGCCTCCTGTGGTGGTAGGAGGAGAGTGGAGGCGGTCTAAGGGAGGACAGAGAGGACTCAGGCCACAAAGCTGTCCTGGGGACCCCGGCACAGGTGGTCACCCAGATCACTTTGACTCTGTCCCAGCCATGCCCTTGCCTTTGCCCCGGCCAAGACTCCTAACCTCCAGAGCTCAGTCTCTTCAGCTGTGAAATGGAGAAAGTACCCTGTCCCTCAGGATCAGATGCCCCGGTGGGCTTGAAAGGGTCAGGCTCAGCCTGTTCCTGGCCTTGGAATTAAGGCATCTGGATTTGGGCCAGGCTTTGCCATTTTCTTGCTGTGTGACCTTGGACAAATCACTTCCCTTCTCTGAGAGAGAAAATGGGTATATGTTGGGTAGGGGGCTATCAACATCAAGGAGGCTTTCAAGGATCAGAAGGCACGGGTTGAGGATCGAAGACAGAGGCTGGCACATAATGGGGGCTCAGAAAGCAGGATTTTTGTTGGTGTTATTAGCAGCAGCACCTCCCAGCCTGGGAGGGACCCAAGCACACACTCCTGCCCTTGGGAATTTTTGCTCCCAGTCCCAATGCTGACCCTTATTGTCCCCAGGCGCTCTGATTGCAGACCTCAGAGGGGTGGCACTCCTCCCACCCATTTCCTTGAAAGGTCAAGATAAACACCCCATGAAAATGGGATCCATTGGAGAGGTGCCCCTCCCCTGTGGTGGGATTTGCCATTATTGGCCCCTCTCCCCACCGGAAATGCCACCATTGTTGCTTCACACACGTGTCCACCTGTACAGCAGCACTGGCTCCTATTCACTGCATGTGCTGGGTGACCTGAGGTCCCCAGGCTCTTTGTCTCTTGCCACCCTATAAATGGGGAGGGGGACGACTCCTAGGACCCCATCCCCCAGTGCTCTGTACCTATTGCTTTCTTCTCTAGCAAAAAGCACTTCAAAGAATGTATCAACTTCATCCACTGTTGTCGTCTCAATGGAGGAAACTGCCTTGTGCACTGGTGAGTGGGGAGTCGGGGGAGGAGGGGAAGTAAGTGGCTGTTCTCCCCTCATCCTACGGGGAATGCAGAATCTTCTGCAGCCTGTCAAAGTGCCTGACAGTCCACCATCCACCTGATGGAAGGCTCAGATCCAGACTCTGTCCCTTACAGCTGTGTGGCCATGGCCAAATAGCTGTTTCTTCCTCGGATTCAATTTCCTGATCTGTAAAATGGGGAAAAGAATATTGACCTGGCAGGCTATTGGGAGAAACAGGTGAGGTCGTGCAGGTAGCCCAGCACTTTCCAATGGTTCCAACTCCTTCTTCTCCTCCCCTCTGGCCTTTGAGGCAATAGTATAAGGCAGTGAAGAGCCCCAGCCTGGGAGACAGGACCCCTAGGTTTTCCCAGGGGCCCTTGGCCCAGTTGATTTCATTCATCCCATAACTTCTGACAATGCCCGGCTCAGGGCTGCTCTGCCTGAGCCCCAGCCACAGGGACAGCTCCTCCAGCCTTGTCTCCCACCCTCTCTCCTCCCTTTCCTTGCTCCAGCTGCGCTGGCCAACTCCCTGTTCTTCCAGTCCACCAGGAGCCCACCCACGTGGTCTTCATATACTGCCCAGAACATTCTTGACAATCCTTACCCATCTTTCAGGATTCAGCTTGATGTCATTTCCTTAGTAACCCCTTCCCTAATCCTCCGCATCCCCTCCACCAGATTAATACCTCTTCCTATACAATCTCCTGGCCCCTGGACTCATCTTCAGAGCAATTATCACCACCTGAAATTGATTCCCTGGTCAGTGACTGTCTCCCCCAACCATACTGTAAGCCCCAGGATGGCAGAGACCATGTCTGTTTTATCCCCCAGCTATATCCCCAGTACCTAAAAAATCACAGATGATCAGGAAACTTGTGTTGAATGATAGAGTGAAGCAGTGTTTCACTCAGGCCTGTGATGTGGGAGAATGCCGGGGCGGTGTGGGGGGGGGGTGCTCCAGGCAGAGGGAACAAGAGCAAAGGCCTGGAGGTGGAAGACAGGTCCTGGCAGGTTCCTTGTGGTTGGAGCTCAGGATGGCAAAGGTGGGAAAACTGAAGTGGGAATGGGGTGCCTGGAGGGCAGCGGGAAGACTGGGCCTTATCTGAACCCTTGGGCGTGGGGTGTCCCAGCTTTGCAGGCATCTCCCGAAGCACTACCATCGTGACGGCGTATGTGATGACTGTGACGGGGCTAAGCTGGCGGGATGTGCTTGAAGCCATCAAGGCCACCCGGCCCATCGCCAACCCCAACCCAGGCTTTAGGCAGCAGCTGGAAGAGTTTGGCTGGGGCAGTTCCCGGAAGGTAGGGGCTGGGGCAGGGGCTGGAGACTCTTCTTATTTGAACTGAGCACTGATTGGAAAGAATGTAGCCTGTGCTTGAGACTTGGCAGAAGATTTTTCTGTGGTCTTAAACTCGTGCCCCTTGAGCTAATCTAGCCCCTAGGTGTATTTGGTCTGGGTGGCCAGGTGTTTTCTTTTCCTTTTGATTTAGCACTTGAATACCTGTAGGCCAGATTATGAACCCTTTAGTTTGGCCAGGTCCCAGCACTGCCTGTTTTACCTGCCTGGAACCTAAAGGTATCTGAGCATTTGGCTCCTCTGGGAGAAATGTCCATTCCCTACTCCACCCCTGGGTCCTTGATGAGGCCAAAGCAGATCCTTGTCTTATGCCCACTGGGCAGATAGCACATGGAGATGACAGGAACTGAGGCCCCCCAGGGAACAAGAGATGAAAGAGAGAAAAAGCAGCAGCAAGTGCAGGAAGGTGGGCTGCTGGCCAGAGGTTTATCTGCAAGGCTGCGTTGGGAAAGAGGCAGGCAAGGAAGACGCCCTGCCTGAGTGGAGTTGTTGAGCAGGGTGGGAAGGGTTTAATGTGGTCCCACCGTGCGGTCCTTGGGTGGGGGGAGGTCACTATATTAGGTCTGGAAGATGGAGTGTCAAAGGGGATTCAGGGAAAGGGAAGGGACTCAGAGTGGGAGGGGCTCAATGAGGGGGATGGAGACTTGGAAGGGAAGCTAAGAGGATGCTCAGGAAAGGGAGGGGCTTACTGAGGCGTGGGAAGCTCGCATAAGCAAGGAAGCTCTGAGGATGGGGAAGGGACCCGGCGGGTGGCCGGGCACCGACCCCACCCCTCCCCACCCCAGCTTCTCCGACAGCTGGAGGAGCGCTTTGGAGAGAGCCCCTTCCGCGACGAGGAGGAAATGCGCGCGCTGCTGCCGCTGTGCAAGCGCTGCCGGCAGGGCTCTGCGAGCTCAGCCGCCTCCCCCGTGCCCAGCTCGTCGGCCTCCGAGGGGACCTTGCAGCGCCTGGTGCCGCGGACGCCCCGGGAAGTCCACCGGCCGCTGCCGCTGCTGGTGCGCGTCAAGCAGACTTTCTCTTGCCTCCCGCGGTGTCTGTCCCGCAAAGGCGGCAAGTGAGGATCCCGCCCCGCTGCGGCGCCCCTCGTCCTCCCGACTGGTCCCCTATGGGGGCTGTCTGGGCCTCCCACGGCCTTCAGGACGAGCCCCGAGCCTGTGGGAGCCCCGCAGCGGCCTGATCCCTGCCCCTCTTCCTGCCTCGCTTGTCTCCGTCTGCAGTCAGTGTGTCCTCCATCTGTGTGTGTATTTCTGTGTCTGGGCCGGCCTGCTGCAGCCACCTGGTGCCTTAGTCCTTGGGCTGGGGGAGGGTGCACCCGGGCCTCCTCATTAAAGGCGGAGGAAGTGGGAATGGGTGGGTAGGGGTTGGATGGGCCTGGAGGATATTAAAGAGACACAGAAGCTGCGTGTCTGATCGCCTCCCAGTCATTCAGCAAAGGCCTGGCTGCAGGACTCTGCCTGGGGCAGGAGCCTTCCGGAAACAGGAATGGGAGAGGGTTTGCGTCCCCAGGGGCCTGAGGAGCCTGCCCGGCTCTGGGAATTGCGGTCGGGAATTGCAGTCCACTGGGCTGAATCTCACTTCCCTGACCCTTGCCCCCATCTCACCCTGGCGCCCTGGTCTCCTGAAAGAGCCCCCAGCCCCTCCTTCTCTCTGAACCTCTCTCCCCCTGGCTGAGCCCCTGTCCTCCCTGAGCCCCCTCCTCCCCAGCTCCCTTCCTTTCCCTATTCACAAACCCTAGCCGGTAAAGTAGTAGTATCTCTCTCATGCCTGACTTTTTACTTGAATGAGTTCACTAATCCTCAGGGAGGACACTGAGGCTCAGAGAGTTCAGGCAGCTTGCCCAAGGAAGACACAGCTAGACCAGGGAAGGCTGGATTTGAACCTAGGTGGCCTGGGTCCTATGACGGTTGTTAGAAAGCAACTCCTTCTAGTCTTGAAGGTTATTGGCCAGGAGGATCCACCCCCAGCTAGAGGGAATGACCCTTCCCACCTACCGTTTAAAGGGCAGCCACTGAGGAGGGAGGGTCTCAAGGCAGCCCAATAAAGCAGCAGACTGACTCCGAAGATGAACAGACGTGATTAGAGCTGGATTTTCCTAAAGTCAAATTAACTCAGAGTTAAGAATGGTCTGAAATCACATTCATCTAATAGCCACCTGTATGGGGTTCTTACTATGCACCAAGATTCCAGCATTGAGGGTAGGAGGATGGACGAAGTAGCCTTCACCTGCTGCCCAGCTTCCTGCTCTGCATTCATGCAACACATGTTCATAGAGTACCTACTGTGTGTCAGGCACTGTGCTGGGCACTGAAGATGCAGCAGTAAGTGGAACCTCTGCCCTCGGTTGCTGACATTCTGGGGGAAAGACACCGGATCAACAGATAAACAAAAGAAAAAATATATCCGGTAGTGAGGGAGTGGACCATTTTGCTATCTGGGGGGAGGCATTCCAGGCAGGGGGAACAGTGAGTGAAGAGGCCCTGAGGTAGGACCATGTGTGAAGAGCAAGGTGAGCAGGGAGCCTGTGGTCCTTCTGGCTGGTTAGTGCTGCCACCAGCCACTGGGTTTAAAATGTCTGTGTTTCTGCTGGTGTGTCTGTGTATTTAAAAACCTGTCATCTATAGGACAAAGTGAAACACCTTGAGTTGATATTCCAGGTCGAGCATGGTGCCCCACCCCGCTTTCTGTCATTGCTTTCACCACACCCTGACTCAACAGCAGCAACAATAGTAGTACCGCTCTTTAACTGAGCACTCACTAGGGGTGGGGCCAAGTACCAAACACTTCATCGGCATCTCATTTAATTCTCAAGCCACCCTATGAAGTCGGTGTTGCTATTTAGCAGATGCAGAAACCGAGGTTGGTGCCGAAAGTGGTCAGCTAGTGAGTAGTGGGGCGGGGATCTGAATCCAGGCAGCCTGGCTGTGGACCCCATCTTCATTACTATGACTCTGCCCTCCAGAAAAATGAAGAGATTGCCTGACACAATCGAGACCCTTGCTTAGATGTAATTATTATTCTTGTATTTAATAGTATGAAATTCTTCATGCCCCATTGTTGAAGTGTCAGAACTGGGTGGCTGCTAGCATATGAGGACAGAAGATGGCAAGCATGAAGGTACACCCCCTGACAGGCACACATGAGGGTTGGTGCTCCTAGCCTCTGGTCAACACTGGCTGGATTTCCAGCTCTGTGCTGGTTGCAGTGAGGGGTGGTTTCTCTCTCTTTCTGAGCCTCAGTTTCCCCCAAGTACATAGCAAGGGGTGAACAGTCTGAGCTACTTGACCTCTTTCATAACACAACCCTCCTTTGACAATTTAATGAAAGATACAAACCCTAGAAAAATGCATAGATGTGAAAAAAAATTGCATACACTTCCCTGGTGGGGAGGGGCAGTCTGTGAAATCCAAAAACTCCAGGTAGAGGTGTTGGGAGGCAGTGAGGGGCACTGTTTAGGCTCTGGGGGCAGAGTCACAGGTTCAGAGCCTGGCTCTCCATGCACTAATTCTGTGACTTTTTTATAGAGCCTCAGTCTTAACAGTAAAATAGATAATCATACTCATCTCACAGGCTGTTGTGAGAACCAATGGAGACTGCAGGAAAGGCTTTAGCCAGGCCCAGTACTGTGGTGAATGGTCAGGAAAAGGGGACTCCCTACATTTAAGGAAATATTTCTCCAAGTGTGACTCGTGGACCACCTGGATCAGAATTCCATGGGAAAACTTGCTGAAATGCTTGTACCTGGGCTTCTTGCCCAGAAAATCTGATTCTGCAGGTCTGGCATGGAGGCTAGGAGTGTGCGTTTTAAATCAGTCTCTGCCTCCCAGTTCTGCTGGGAGCTTGTTTGAGAAGGACTATGCCTTTCCAACCTCTGCAGTCCAGGACTTGGAAAGAGACTAAGTTTCCAGTCGGCTAGGAAGAGCAGAAAACAGGTGCAGGGGTGGGGCAAATGACGCCTCTGCCTGCCCATACGGACTCCCCTCCAGGGACAGGCAGAACCCGGGCTACCCAACCCCTTACCCGCCAGTGGTTCTTGGCGTCCCACAGTGCTGCTTCCTACGCAAGGCCCCACGCCCTCCAGGCCATTTGACATGGGGAGGGGCGAAAGGAAAGGGCCCCCGGGGAGAAGGAGCGGAAAAGAAAGCGAAACTGTCAGTCCAGACTTTCGCTTTCGCCACCTCCGCGCGCCATCCAGGTGGCCCCCGCGATCCCCTGTCGCCCTGGGGTCCGGTCGCCGGGTGGCCCAGACCTGTTTCCTCCACCCCCACCCCACCGCGTCCCCGATGGCCTGCGACCCCTGGCGGAGGGACGAAGGGAAGGTCCCCGACAGCAGGCGACCCATCGCGGGGGCCGGGGGTCCCCTGCGCCTCCGCGACTGGCTGGTGGCGCAGATTGAGAGCGGGCGCTACGCCGGGCTGCGCTGGGAGGACGCGGGCAAGACCCTCTTCCGCATCCCCTGGAAGCACGCAGCCAAGCAGGGCTACCGGGCGCAGCAGGACGCGGCGCTCTTCAGGGTAAGGGGGCAGGGGCCGAGGGTCGCCGGCCAGGGTCCCGCAGGGCTCTGCTTGCGCACGGTCGCAGCGCTCCGACCGACCGACCGACCGACCGACGACCGACGCGCTGTCACCTCAGGCCCCTCGCTCAGCTTTTAACCTCAGTCGCCTCTAGGTCGAGGGTAGTATTCTCCATATGGGAGACCCTCCCAGACCCTCTTAAAACAGATCAGCCAGGACTGCATGACCTGCACCATCCCCACCCCACAGGGAACCACTCCTCCCTTCTCTCTGGGGAAATTAGACCCAGCCACCGCCACCGCTGGGAATTCCCTCCACTTCTCAGCCCGGAACTGCCAACCCCTCGAGGCTTGGGGACATTGTCTGTGCTTCCCAACACCAGCCCTTCTCAGGGACTTCCTCCAGGAATACCCCCAATCACCATTAACTTTCTCCAAACTGGCTCTTTCCCAACAAGATTTAAACTCGGGAATGTCTCCCAAGAGCAATAAGCAACCAACTGCATACCAAGCCACTGCCACCATCCCAAACACCGTGGCTGCCTCCAGCTCCTACTATTCTGGCTTCCCCTCTCTCTTCCCAGGGTGAAGCACCTAGAAAAGGTCTTCTGGTCATCAACTCCCTCACTCATAGCCTCCGGTTACTCCTCCTCACCCCCACCCCCCAACAGTCTGGTTTCTCTCCCTCCTGCTAATGCCTCTAATTGCCAAGTCCAAGGATGCCATCACTGTCATCTTCTCAGACCCCTGGGTGAGTCGGTCTAGTGGACCCTCCCTCCTCCTTGAAACACTCTCACCTGGTTCCCAGAATCTCTGTCTCCCCACCCACTCCAACCCTGACCTGTTTTCCTCCTACCTTCCTGGTCCCTACTTCTCAGCCTCCATCCCCTCTCCTCCTCTTTTGGGGCTCTCTGCACTCACTCCTGGACCTCCTCCCTCATATTTCACTCTCTCCTTCCACAGCCTCAGCATGGAGCCCAATAGTTCCGACCCTTCTCTCCAAACCTCAGGCCTGCTAGTCTAAGTCTAGTGACCCCAGACCTCTCAAATTCAGCACCTCCTCCATACCACACTCATTGGCGCCCCTCTACACACGGCTGCGTTTCCCAAAATGGGAGATGGCAGTGACTGCCACCCAGACCCTAGAGCCAGGCACCTGAACCTTAGCTACTCCCTTCTCTTCCAATCTTATTCTAATCCATTACCAAGGCCTGCTAGGCTTTTCCTCTTCTGTCCATCCACCTGGACCCATTCCCCCCATCTCTCACCAGAACAATGAGTTTCCTGCTTCCCCTATCCCTCAGCTCTCCCCTCAGACCTCCGGAGGGTTCTTTCTAAATGTAAATCCTGCCTTGGCACTCCCGTACTCCAAATCCTTCCATGGCTCCCCATTGCTCTTGTGAGAAAGTCCCAACACATTACCATGACCTCAAAGCCCTACATGAACTGCTCTTCCCTGGCCTCTCACCATCTCTCTCGACTCCCTCCCCAACTATAGAACTGACCAGACAGTTCTTTCAGTTTCTAAATGCTTCATGTCTCTCTCACCATGAGACTTTTGTACCATCCATTCACCCTGCACGAAACACCCTCTCTCCTCCACCTTCACTGGTCAACTTCCATCATGCTCAGCTTAAACTTCTCAAGACAGCCTTCCCTGATGCATTCACTTGTTCAACGCATTTATGAAGCTCTAACTTAGTGCTTCTCCCCAAGTCATCCCTAATTCCTTCTGCTTTCTCCATTGGAACAACTTTTCCTATGAATTATGAGTGCTTTGTATGAGTCTGCCTCCTCTAGCTCCCTGGGGGTGGTGACCCTGAGCACAGAGCCCAGCCCACAGCAGGAGCTCAATAAGTATTGAAGAGGTGGTTACCTGGCCTGTCTTTTAAGTTCAGAAGCCGGGAGATTCTGGGGGCTGGTCCTCCCTGTCTCTCTTTGGGGATGCTTTGATTCATCCCCCAACCCACCACTGACACATACGTGTGACACCCTGGGCTTCCAGGACATTTGTGATCCAGCTTCATTCTTCTTCCTTAATTCCTCTTCTCCTTCCTCCACCACATTCAGTTAATCCTCATTATTCACAGATTCCACATTTGCAAATTCGCTTACTCGCTAAAATTATTTATAATCTCCAAATCAATACTCAAGGCACTTTTGCAGCCATTCACAGTCATGTGCAGAATGGCAAAAAAAAAATGAGTCATCAACGTACACGTTCTGACCTGAGATTGAACAAGGTGACAACTCTAGTTTCAGCTCTTCTACTGTAAATGGGTGTCCTTTTGCAGCCTCTTTAGCACCTTGTTATTAATATTTTTGTGCTTTTTGTTGGTGATTCCACTGTTTAAAGTGGCCCCCACGCCTATACAGTGCTGTAGTGCTGTCCACTGTTCTAAACACAAGAAGGCTGTGATGTGCCTTTCAGAGAATATCCGTGTGTCAGAGAAGTTTCTTTCAGGTGTGAGTTATAGTGCTGCTGGCCATCAGTTCACTGTTAATGAATCAACAGTTTACATTAAATAAGGTGTCCTTAAACAGAAACACACATACAAGGTTGTGTATAGATCAGTTGATAAAAATGGTGTGACCAGAGCCTCGCAGGAACCTAGCCTTGTGTGTCCCCTAGGAGCAATGGTTCAGGGTTCGCTAACTCAGTGTTTGTGTCAACTTTATAGAACACAACTACCATGAATACACATACCCTCACACACACACCAGCTCCAGCCACACCAGGCTGCTCACTGTCTCCTGAATGCACCATGCTCTTCCATGCCTTTGCTCAAGCTGTTCCCCTGTCAAGAACATCACTCCACCTGGCAACTTCCTACTCATCCTTCGAGAGCCAGTTTGATTTATTCCACAAATATTTATTGAGCATCTCCTGTGTGCCAAGTGCCACTCTAACTGCTTGGGGACACAGCAGTGTCTCCAAAGTTCCCTCTCTCATCGAGGTGACAGCACCCTGTGCCTTGAGTCCAAGTTACCTTTATGTTAGAGCATCCTTAATACAGTGAATAAGTACTGCAATAAATGAGCTCTGACTGTGTGCCAGGTACCATGCTAAGCACAAAACAGACCACTCACCTTACACCCACCACAACCATGTGAGGTTAGGTATTATCAGCACAGTTTACAGACAACAAAATCAAGCCTTAAAGGTCTCACCACTTAAGTGGCACCAATATAGGATCTGTAGCTTTTCTGTTCAGTGTCCTGGGATCTCTGAAGGCAATAACTGAATGTGATTTATCAGTTAAATCCCCGCCAGCCCTGAATATGACCAATGCGAGCAATACAACTCCAATTGTCCTCCTCTTTGACTACTCTGCTCCAGGCACACTGGACTTCCTTGAACCTATCCCACCTCAGGACCTTTGCACTTGCTGTTCCTTCTACCCAGAACAGCCTTCCCCCAGCTCTTTGTCAGACTCCATCCTTCTTTTCAATCAGACTTCAGCCCAAATGCCACTTCCTCCAAGAGGCCTTTTCTGATCACCCTCTGTAAAGCAGCTCCTCATATTTCTTGTTTATGTATTTAGTCCCTCTACCACAACAGTCATTCTAATGTACTTAATGAATACCTTTGGTTTGTATGTTTTCTTGCAAAGTGGGCCGTTGCTGTTTTGTGCGTATTCTTACCCTATAAGCATTTATCATATTGTGTGATAGACTCATTCCGTGTCTTAACTTTTATTTCGCTCAGGATCATGCTCTGAAGATCTATTCTTCTTCCCTGCCCATCTAAGTTGTTGCTCCTGGATGCTTCTAGATGTTGCATAGACTCTATATTGGGCATCTATTACATGCACACCCCCATCTACTTTCCCAGGGACGGACACAGTTTACTTTCCAGACCACAAATAACGTCTGCTTGCCCCAGTCCCTTCCTAAGCCTCTGTGAGAATTCCTTTGTTACTGGAATCTCTGCTCCCAAGGGATGCTTATACTTAATCGGACAAGGCATGCCAGATTACCATCCAGAAGCTCTGTACCCATTCCACCCGTACCCACCAACAGTGTCCACATCCCAACTGGTTTATCCAACTGGCTAAAATTTGTAAGCTTCCAGGTGATGTCTCATATTTTTATTTCTCTGGCACTAATGAGTTTCCGCACCTCTTCCTATGCTCAACAGCTCCTGGTTTCCTCTAAACCACCCATTCTTGTCCTTTGATAAGAATTTTTTCTTTAGGGGATGCTCCCTGTTTCTTGTTGATTTGCAGAAGTTCCTGTATGTTCTAGATCTTAGCCCCTTGCTGGTTTCAGCCATTGCAGTTATTCCTGCTTTATGGTTCATGCCTTTGAAGTTTTGTTTAAGAAGCATTCTCTGCCCCCTAGGTTTTCTCCTATATTATCTTCTATTACGTTTATGGTTTTACCTCTTTTGGTTTTTTTAAGCAACTGGAGTCCACTTTGTATGTAGCAGTAGTTAGGGATTTCGTTTTATGGCTCTCCAGGGAGCAAATCCCTGCCATCATTCTATAGTCCCTCGTCCTATTTATTTTTTATTTATCACAACCCATAATTTGAAACAGAATTATGTCCTTTTAACTGTTTGCAGTGTCCTCTCCCATTAGACTTGAGCTCCTTGAAAGCAGGGACCATGTCGGTCTGGTTCCCCATTCAGTCCCTACCTTAGGCCTGGCCCATAGCAGGAGCTCAAGGAATATGTGCTGGCTGAAGGAAGGAAGAGAAGGAAGGATGGAGGGGTGGAGGGGTGGAGGGGTGGAGGGACAGAGGGGCAGAGGGGCAGAGGGAGGGAGAGGGGTAGGAGGCAAGGCAGCCCTCATCCCTTTGCATGGCATCAGCCCCCTCTCCCAGGCTCTTCCTCCCCAAATGCCCCTGCTCACTCCCAGGCCTGGGCCATATACAAGGGCAAGCACCTGGAGGGCATTGACAAGGAGGACCCCTCCACCTGGAAGACGAGGCTCCGCTGTGCCCTCAACAAGAGTGCCGACTTCTGTGAAGTGCGTGAGCGCAGCCAGCTGGACATCTCCAACCCCTACAAGGTCTACCGGCTCATGTCCAGTGGTGCCAATGGCCCAGGTACTTCCTTCCCCTGGAGGTAGCAGCTGAGGCTCTCTGGGCAATAAGGACCTCACTTTGCCCACCTCTAAAATGGGAAATGGTGGGCTTTACTGGGCTTAAACCCATGGGCTGGAAACAAAGAAGGACCCTTAAACCACCCAGTGTATCTCCCTATTCAAAAAGGAGGAAACTGAGGCCCAAAGAGGGAGGCCTTGCCTGAGATCATGTAGTGAGCTAGGGTACACTTGCCTGAGTCATTATCTCAGACAAGATTGATGGGGTTCCCCTTGGGGCCCAGGAAACAAGCAGCTATTTCTTACCCCACCCAGTTACCAGGGCTTGTGCTTCCCATAAAGAGGAAGACATTCTCCAGAGCCAGCAAAATCCCCCTGGAGAAGTGACAGAGCCGGCCTGCAGGACAAACCAGGTCAGTGTCTTCCAGCCCCTGCAGCCTTGCCAGCCCAGCCACCTTGCACCCAAACCGCCCCCTATGATCTCCAGCACCCTCACCTCATCCCTCCGTCAGCTCCTGCCCAGCCTTGTCCCTCTATCAGCTCTACCTCCTACCGCTACGCCACCTCTGCCATCATTTTCAGCTCCTTCATTCTAATCTCCTTGCCTCCATCATTTCTGTCTCATCACCTCTATCATCTTCATCTCTATCGCTCTGTCTGCATCAATCCTATTTTCTCTCAATTCACCCTCTCTCCCCTGTCATCCCTGGGTCCATCACTCTGTCCCCACTCACCCACTCAGATCCAGTTCCCTCACTGTATCCCCTTCATCACCTCTAGCTCTCTCACCATTGCCATCACGCCATCACCTCTATCTCCATCACTGTCTGTATCACTCCACTATCTCCACTCCATCACCTATCCCCATTCACCCATGGTTCATTGCTCTGTTCCCATCCCCCCATCAGCCTAGTTCATCCCACTGTCCCTACTACCCCCGCCATCACTCTGTCCCCACCTCTCTAACACCTCTGTCTCCTCGTTCACTCCTAGTGCTTTGCTCCCTATCACAATGAGCTTCCTCTCTGACGCCATCACCCCCCACAACTCTCTCTGTGCCTTCACGGGGGAAAAGATCTTGAGCTCTGAAACCTTCAAGTCCCTATCAACCCCAGCTGGCCTTCAGTCTGCCCAGACCTCCCTCTGCCCCAGTACAGACTGTCTGGGAACTCCCATGGCCCACAGGTATCCTCTCCCACCCTCACAGACCCTTTCTCCTGATGCTCAGGATGGCTCCAGATCAGCAACAGAGGATAAGAACAAGGAGCGGCCCCCCAGGCTGGCCCAGCAGAGCTCCCTGCCGCCAGCTGCCCTGCTCTCAGGCCCCTTGGCTGACCACAGTAAGGACTGGGTCTCCTCACCCACCCCTGCCTCCTCCCTGGTCTCTTCTGGGACCTTGATCTAGGGGTCGAGGGACCCAGGGTGAGGTGATGCCTTATTGCTTCCCTTCCTTCCCCAGGGTACCAGGCCCAGGAACCCGCACACCCCTGGGACCCCTTACCCTCTGAGGACTTCAGCAACCCTGGTAAGGAATCTGAAGGCCCTCTCCTCTGACCACCATGCAGAACTGGGGAGGGCCCAGGGTTGGGGCCAGATAGCCTCTGTCTCCCACCCTGCCCAAACTCCAGATAACAATACCAGCTAACCTTTGTTGAGGGCTTAGCCTATGCCAGGCATCCTTCTAAGCTCTGCACATAGCCCTGTGAGATATACTGCCATTATCCCCAGTTTAGAGTTGCAGAAACCAGGCACAGAGGTTAAGAACCCTGCCCAAGATTACGCAGTTAATAATCCTGAGTAAGTTATCAGCAGGTCACAGCTCCTAAGTGGCAGTGAGAGATTAGACCCCAAAGGCCTGGCTGCAGAGCCACAGCCCTAACCATTGAGCATTTTGCTGGCTCTTTATCTGGGAGGCTGCTGTTTGTTGTTGCTGTTGCCATTGTTACTGTTTATTTTTATTTTATTTCTATCAGTATTAAAATATTTGCTGGGAAGCAGCTCCTACAATCCCAAAAGTTGGAGCCTCAGTGTCATGTGTCATGCCCCCATTGTACCGATGGCCCGAGACCCTATGCTTTTGAAGCTCAACTACCAGTCCGTTTATACTGGAAGTTGCTGTTGTTTACTACCATCACCACCACCACTACTAGTAGTAGTAGTAGTAGTATCGCTTCTCCGGAGGGAGCGCCACAAATTCCCTAGGTGGGTGCCCGGCCCGTCGTGGGGGAGGGGAGCGGGCGCCACCAACGCCAGGCGCGCTCCCCCTCCCCTTCCCGCAGATTGCTGGCTGCACGTGCGGCTCTTCTACGGCGCGGAGCTGGTGCGTGAGGCCACGGCGCGCACGGCCGAGGGCTGCCGC